TATCCTTGTTGGAAGCTGCCCAGAGTGGCTGGGGAAACCCAGCTAGATGGGCGGGGTACAAATAATAAATTATTATTATATTATTATTATTATTATTATTATTATTATTATTCTGAATGCCAGTTGCTGGAAGCCACAGCAGGGAAGAGGACTCTTGTGCTGGAGTCCTGGTTTCCTACAAGCATGTAACTAGCCGCTTTGAGAACAGGATGCCGGACTCAGGAGCGGCACATTCCATTTTGATGCACGAGGCGAAACAGGAAGTTCCGCCCCATGCTGGCATGTCACCCCATCCTCCAACGGGTCACCCCCTTTTCTGCCAACACTGCCTCCGAGCTGCCCGTCTCCACCGCTGTGGCACCAGCACAAATATCAGGGGAGGAATCTCATCGAAATCTCGCAAGATCTCTCGCCAGAAATCGGCGCTGGCTTCTCTGCTTGTCGTGGGCATGTTCACGTGGAGTCAGCAGGGCTGGTGGGGACACCCGTGGGCCCCCCCCGGGAGTTTCATCTGCCTATAGCAGCTGCTTCACCCCACTTCATGGGGGGGAGCTATCCCTGGTTGGACTGGAGGTCCACTGGTTCTCCATATGTTCTTATGGCAGTGTCTACCTAACACACACAGATTCACATTTTCCCTTTCTTTTGCTTTCTTCTTTTTATATAAAAAGAGAAAGTTTGGGGCATGAAAGCCCATGCTCCCTTGCTAAATGAAGCCTCAAATTATTGTTATTCCTATAGCCACATCTGTGCAGTTGCAGCTTTTCCCAATCTGGTGCCCTGCCAATATTTTTAGGCTCCATCATCCCTAGCCATTGGCCATGCTGACTGGAGAGGATATGAGTCCAACAATATGTGGAGCGCACCTGAATGAGGAAGGCCATATTATCATCCTATAGCATTCGTGCACCTGTGGGGCCTTCAGAGGAGCAGAAGCAAAGAGAGAGAGAGAGAGAGAGAGAGAGAATTCACTGCTTGGAGCATCTCACAGTTTTCAACAGTAGGGGGAGACGAATGAGCAGGCAGAAAGGGAGGGACAATATGGGTATCCATAGGATAGCCTGAGCATTGCAGTCCATGCACTGGTAACCTCAAGGATAGATTACTGCAATGTGGTCTGTGTGGGGCTGCCCTTGCAGTCTGGTTTGGAAGCTCCAGCTGGTGCAGGATGCAGCGGCCAGACTGCTGATGTGACGCCCTTGCTAAAGCATCTGGGCTGGCTGCCCATCTACTGCTGAGCCAGGTTCAAGGTCTTTGTATTACCATATTTTTCCATGTATAAGACTAGGTTTTTCCCCTAAAAAAGAGTGTCCAAAATTAGGGGGCGTCTTATACATGGGTAGTGCTGAGGGTGGATTTTCTTAAATCTGAGTCCCCCAAAATAGGGGGCGTCTTATACATGGAGGCGTCTTATAGCTGGAAAAATACGGTAATTTACAAAGCCCTGAACAACTTAGCTCCAGGGTATCTCAGGGACTGCCTTATATCCCAGTTCAATCACTGATATCATCTTCAGGAGCACTGTTGATCGTTCCCCAAGTTGGAGAGGCTTCTTTTATGCCATTGGCCCAGTTCTGTGGAACTCCCTGCCAATGGAGATTCAGCAAGCACTTCCTGGTTCAACTTTTTAAACAACTGCTAAAAACTTTTCTATTCTGTCAGGTCTTTGCAGGCAGTTAAGGATTTCCAACCGTTAGCTGACTTCTGATTTTATCATTTTTATATGGTTTCGGTTTTTGTACTATTGGTACAAACTGCTCCGATATATTTTTTTAATGAATAGCTGTATGTAAACAAATAAAACATATACGGGACAGAAGCGGGCTCTTCTTTAGGTCTGGCTGCTACCACATTTGACGAATATGAGCCAGAGGATGGCCAGAACTAAAGAAATAACTTCACAGACTTACCTGCCCAACCTTTGAAAGCTTGAGTTCCGTAACGTGTAATCATGAGCCGCACTCTCTTTGACATTTCGGACGCGCATCACACCGTATTCCTTTAGGGCGTGTTCATCTGGCCAGTATTTTACGCACTTGCTCTGGAAAACAAGACAGGGTGGTGGGCTGCTGGTTTCGTCAATGTCAGTCAACTGAAGGTTCTCCATATGTTTTGGGCTACAAGTCCACCAGCCCCAGACAGAGAGGCCATGTGATGTGGAGGCTGATGGAAGTAAATCAAATCCACCCTGAGACGAAAGCTCATACCAATAATAAACTTGGTCTCTAAGGTGCTACTGGAAGGATTTTTTAAATTTTGTTTTG